TGCAATACACATGGAGGAGACTAGGTTGAGGAAGGCTGTTTTGAGAGAACTAAGCTTATGGGAGGTACCCTTTCCTTGGACCATCTTGGGAATCAGCAGCCAAGGCACCCCTCACAAAGATTATTATCCTGTTCCATAGCTCATCTGGTGCAGCAGGAGTGACATCAGCAGCAGCGGCCACAACAGATTGCTTCTGCTTTGATTTTGGGTTGCACATTACTTCACCTCACTGCACAGAAGTCAAATACAACCCAGAACTGAAGCAAGAATACTTTATTGCCAATCTGCTGCTTCTAGTCACATCACTTTCACTATGCCAGTAGAGTTCTAGAACAGGATATTAGCTGAAGATATTTAGGCATTAATAGGAAAAAGATGAGTAAGGAAGCTTGTTTCTTTTGTCACCTGTTTTCAAAAATGTTTCAGTTCTAATATCCTTCAGAGAAATTTCCTAAGTTCTGGAGTTCTGCCTTCACCTTCCTGTGTTCCTTTCTTTACACCAGCCCTGGAAGTGTTGCCAGGAGCACAAGCCTCAGAACCAAATGGTTGCCCTTTTAACTGAGAGCCAACCTCTTCTAGACTGATCAGACTAGAAGACCTCTTGACTACCTGCAACATCTTTCTGCCTCCAGGGAAAACTAGACTGCTGCAGCAAAATTATGGTTTATCTATGCCTGACTTAAGCCCTGCCACTGTATAAACTTAATCTCATTTTAGTCTTCCACAGGCCATTGTCCTAGGTTCTGGTGTTGCCATAAAAGATAGCATACCCCTCATTATCACAAATAGAATGTGTGGAATTGATCTGTATAGCTTTAGGCTTACATGGTTTTAAAAGAGGGTTAGACAAATTCATGAAGGTCTGAAAATTGCTGTTAACCACAGTGTATAAAGGGAATTGTGAATTTCTTCTTTTAAAAAGTGGCAGCAGGTGGCCTGTACTGGGAAAGATCACCCCAAAGTTTCAACAGGCGCCATTGCTGCCCCATTCTATCCATGAGCCCCACATGTTCTGAAAATCAGCTGTTTGTACCCCTTAAGGAGGGGGTACAAAGAGAAAGGACTGTTGCAGTACACTACATATTGACATTTCATTTCAGGAGCATTTGTCTGCCATTGTTGCAAACACTTCTAAATTGACCTAGCAGTGCTTTCTAGCTATTCTTATGTATGTCTTATTTGCCACAGATCTTATGAAGGATGCTGGCTGAAATCCTGTTGTGGTGATATGCAAATAGCATCATGTTTGGAAGGAAATAGCAATAGGTTCCATACTGAGTTGCATGACTTGGCATGCCACAGATAATGGCTACAAAGCTTTCTTAACTTACAGCAGTTTATGAGTAAAAGTTACCCTGTTTGCCTTTCTACCTACTTGGTTTGGTAAACATCTTTCCCCCCACCATTGGTTTTGGTTTTGTATGTCTCCATTAGATGACAGCTGGGTTTTTAATGAGCATCACCCCATGTCTGGCTTTCAGCAATTAGAATTTTAAAAGTGCAATGGATACAGTGGGCAGCGAGAGAAGTACATAGCTGTTCAAGTAGTTTAGAAGCAATTTTCTGGTGCCTAGGAAAATCAGAGGCACATTCTATTTTGCCATGGAGGAAGGCCCCACTAAAGAGCCTAATGAGTGTTGACTACCCCTCCCATGAAGCCTTGTTTTTCCCAGGGAGCCTTGCAGTTCCCAGGGAATACTAGAGCAGTTTCCTTGTTTTTCAAAGAAGCAGCAGGCAGATGCAAGAACAAATGGAGGTGTATAAAGCTCCTCTGTAGGCATCTGTGTTTTGACTCCCTCTCCAAGAATTCTGCCTGGGGATTCTGGGAAATTCTAAGTGATCGTCCAAAAAATCCAAAAGTCTCATTCCCTAGTTATTATGTGCGGTCAAGTCGCGTCTGACATATGGCAACCCTAATAGAATTTTCAAGATGTATGGGATATTTAAGAAGTAGTTATATCACTGCCGTCCTCCAGTGAATTTTTATGGTTGAGCAAGAATTTGAGCCGAAGTCTCCTGAGTCCCAGTCCAACACTATCCATTAGAACACACTGGTTGTGAGGGAGGGGATAACAAGGACCCCAGTATGCCATAGTGATGAGCTCTGGGGACCCCATGGCAGCCATGGCTTGCCAATATGTCTTCTTTAAAGTCTCTGAAAATTCTTGATATTGTGCAATAATTTTGATTTAGTGCAACAGCTCCTTAATTTTCTTCTCACCAGCAGACAGTAACACACAGTTTCCAGACTGCTTGGCATTTTTCAAAAGTTAATTTTTGGCACAAAAATAAGTAGTCTTTCTTTCAACTACACATTCATTCCCCCAACGTCTGGGGCTTTCACCCTGAGAAACAATTTTTTTCCATCTTTGAGCACATTTGCTGAAACATGACTGGTTGCTACATTTGCCTTTAAAGTTTATCCAGTGAGGAAAGGCTTTATTAAGGAAAAGTAATATTTAAAACCTCCTTCACAGAATCATGATTGGTTGTTGTGGGTTTTTCGGGCTAATAATTATGATTATTAGGCGACAGCTATAACTATCAGGTAATGTTTAGTTGTGCAAAATGTTATTGCAAATTGGCTTTCGTGCATTGATTTTTAAAGCTTACAAAGTCAGAGGTTTGTTACCGGAGCAATGATGATGATGATCACGATGATATATCATCAAGTCAGTTCTGACTTACGGCAACCCTCTTGAGGTTTTCTGAGTATAAAGTACTCAAAAGTAATTTTCAATTCCCTTCTGGTGTTGCTGTGGAACCATGTAGCCAGCCGAGACCATAAAGGTGGCAAGGCACATAAACTTATCAGCAACACACATTCTGGATGACCTCAGCTGGCCTCTCTCCAGGATGCAAAACAGGCATTTCAGTGTCAAGCTCCTGGCTCTGCAGTAAAGTGCTACAATCCACTGAGCTATACCAGGACTCTTACCACTGAGTAAAGGAAAAGGTTCCCCTTGACAAATTGTCCAGTCAGGTCCAACTCTAGGGGGTGGTGCTCATCCTCGTTTCCAAGCCATAGAGCCAGCATTTTCCATAGACAGTTTCCGTGGTCGTATGGCCAGCGCGACTTAGACACAGAGCACTGTTACCTTCCCACCATGGTGGTACCTATTTATCTACTCACATCTTTACATGCTTTCAATCTGCTAGGTTGGCAGGAGCTGGGACACGTGGATTCAAACTGCTGATCTTCTGACCTTGCAGCCCAGAGGCTTTGCAGTGCCTGTTAGTAATTCAGGACATCAGATTCTTTTCAGAAGGAAGTCCATGCAGACATGTGAACCAAGAGTAACTACTACTTCAGCTGATTGTGTGGATCATATAGCCATTCTAGCACATCCTTACTGACCCTCATCAATATATTGGAGAAAAGATCAAGCCTGCTGTGCACATGTGGTTTTCCTGTGTGATTTAGGGCAGAAATAGAGGCCTTCTTCATAATTAGATGATAAAATCAAATCTTCCAGAGAACTGATGCTGTGTACCCTCTGTGATTATGCAGTCATACCTGCAAACAAATCCTGGGTTTAGCTCCCAAGGACCAAGCACAAAACAAAAGCGAGCTAATTTACCATTTGCAGAACTGAAAACGGTAGTGTTGGAGTAAATAAGTTAATTTAACCTCTTAAGGGAATTCCTCTTCTAATTACTGCTAACTGCATTGCCTGTATTCACTTAAGGGCTAAAGTGGAAGTTACACATAGCTCATCCTGAGAGCTGAAAGCATTTTAGATTGCAGAGTATGTTTGAATAAATGGTTCCCAGAGGAATCCTTTGTTTTGGTCCTAAAGACCAATCGCTTGCTAAAGCAAGCTAATTTGAAAACCCTAGGAAGTGAGAGAAATTCCTGCTGTGAAGCTCACACACAATTATCACTTAATGATTTTCCTCTTCTGTTTCAGCTCTCAGGCTACTGATTATACAGGTTTCTAAATCATGTGATGCATTGAAGATGTAGGGCCAAGGCCAGCAAACTCAGCCCCACCTGTCCCTCCAATAACTGTACTGGAACTGTTTGCTTCCATTGTATTGTATCTCTCTCATTTCATATAGCTCTGCTGTTGGTAGAGGAGAACATTTTTGCAACATAGGGCACAAGGCACTTCTCTAGAGTGGAAAGTGGACATTTCTGCGACAGCAGCTCCAAACCCCTAGAACTAGCATGGCCACTATGGGACTGTGAGATTCTATGAATTGTAACCTGAGGTATCTTTTGCTGTTTTTAACACTATGGGCACATTGCCTATGCGCAAAGAATTTTCTTAGGCTCAGAAGAAGAGTCTGATTTCCTCCTTTCCCCATCTCACACTTATGTATCAATAGTGACAAGACACCATTGAAGCATGAGTGGATTGCACAGAATGGAAGAAAAAGGCCTAGATAGGGAAAGGAAACATAAGGACAGTCAGAGATTTCCTATTCACCCTAATGGCCCCATGCTATCTTTTATATCCCATCTGTGCCTGTAAATAAGGGAGGACAAAAAAGGGAGCTGTTTTTATCCAGGTGAGCTTTTAGCAACCAACTGGCTGCCAGGGAATGGCACTATGTGTTTTTAAATGGCCTTTTAGTTCAATTGATTAATCTTATGATTTATTCAAATGTGCTTTTATTATTATAGTTTCTTGTGTTTTTTATCTGTATCTGCTTTTAATCTTGTGACCTGCCTTGAGCCCCACTTCTGAGGGAAAGTTGAGATACAAGTCAAGAGGTAAATGCTGGTCAGTAGGCACCCTCCATTTACAGTCATACACAGTATACACAGTGCGTCACAAACATGAAGCTGTTGTTGCCACCAATCCCACCCCTGCTGTTCTCCTTGAACCAACGGGACACATCCTTTTTCGAAAGAAACACACACGTCTGTTGCTTTAGCCATACACAATTGAATTAACAAAAGTCAGATTGCGTTGATTTCACTAATTAGACCAAAGTATCTCTGACAGCAAAATAAACTCCACAAAGTATGGGTGACAGATTGATGTCTCCCTTTTGTTTCTTAAGCATTTATTGTTTCAATCTTTACAGAAAATTAGTTCACTCAGAAAAATATTATCTTAATGACAGATGATGGTTAAACTTTGGATTTCAACAAGTGTACATGTCTAAAAGATGCCACATAAGCCTGCTTTCATGGCCTTAACTAGTCAATGACTGGCAGTAGCTACAAAAGTTTCATAGCTCCATAGAGAGTTTCCTTTTGGAGAAGAGAGATTTATTATACAGGAGTACAAAATAAAACCAGTAGAGAAAGTCACGGAATGAATAAAGTTCCAATTACAAAACCTTTGCTTCTAAACTACACTTTTTGCGTGCATAAGTTATTGATTATACTTTCATGAGATCATAATCAAAAGGTTGTTCTTTGGTAATGATGTGTTAGAGGAGTTTTATCCCAAACTTCAAAGCTGTCTTCTGAACCTTAAGTACAAAGGTTCACCAGTTTTGAAGCATGGCCAAAAATGAGCTTGTGTGTTCTATTCATGCTTCCTATAATTCAAAGAGGTCGATTATCCTAGCCATAGGCTGTGAACTCTTCTCTCTGATCACGTCAGGTAAGCTTCTGTCATCAACAGATGAAATCTTTAAGTCTGTGCCCTTAATTATCGGTTATGTCACTTGGAAACATGTTTTACAAATGATTCTAAACATCTTTTCTGTTTGCTCCAAGGTCCATTTTCTTTAATCTTCCAAATGTGTGTGGGGAGGGGAATCATTCCTTTTTTTTTCTGGAAAAAGAAAAAGGATAAATAAATCAAACCAACCAGCATTTTGGATTCTTTAATGTAAAACCTTTTAATAGTAACAATGCCAGCTAATTAACTTAGATGTACAGTACAGTATTGCCTTATCATTTGGCTGTGATGTCCAAATGCTCATATTCTTTCAGTATAAAATTGCAGTTTCCCATAGAAATTGTTCCCCAAATCTGTGAGTCTATATGTCCACCTTTTCCTTCTGAACCACTTTCTTGACGTTAATAGGCAGAAACATAGCTGGAAGTGCCTGCAGTCCCAAAGACCCATCAGTAGTAAGGGGGAATGGTGCTTTTCTCAGTGAGGTAAGAATGCTGCCTCTTCTCCCCCCGGATTCAGAGACACTTGGTGAGGCTTGTGCTAGTTTTTCCAGTGAGTTATGTCTAGCCTGACAAATTCTATAGCTTGCCTGTATTTGAGACTCAATTAATGCACAAATAGCTAGACGTGCAAAATCTTTGTTTTCTCTTGTCATATGTTGCCACTTTTGTTGGAGTAGAAAGGAGAGGGTAAGGAAAGGAGGTGGAACAAAGAGAATGAGAAGGAAAAGGAGGGTTCAGATAAGGATCTGAGTATGGGGAGAAGGACTCATGTTATAATTTCAGTAATATAAAAATTCTAATTTCGGGGTGCAGTCAGAGGGGCATTTGGTCCTGTGCCATTGGTCCTGTGACCACATGATGTACATGCCTTAGCAGATCAGCCATGATCTGTCCCTTTTTGGGCCCTTATCAGCTGCTACATTTTTTGGTGTTTTTTGCACAGGTTAGGTCACTTCATTTTGTTTCAATTCCAGCATACATGATTGCTAGGTCAAACCAAAGCAACTGGCTGGCTGTCCCTTTGCTGAAGCTACTTAAGAAATGGGAAGCTTCCTTGCCATTCGCCTGTGGAGGGGAGGGACAGGAAGTTTTGCATTTCTTTTTAATTATTGCTAATTGACACAGCACATCAGTGATGCTCTGAAAGGGCTTTTTAAAAGATTGACAGCACCATCTGCTTTCCTTTCCATTTCCATTTTGCATCTCATGGCAACTGTTATAATACAATTGAATCTCTTTCTCATGTCTGATGAAGTGGACATGTCCATGAGAGCTCACATTAAATAATATAAAAGCTAGTCTTTAAGATGCCACCACTTTTTTGTCTTTTTTTTACTTTTTATTTCTATTTTACTTGTATTATGTGATAATACAAGTGGCATCAGGGTTTATGCTCAAATCCATGCTTGGATCCTGCCGATGCAATTCCCATGCATCCCTTACACCCAGGTAAGTGGGTACTGCATAAAAATGAAGCCTGAGTGAGCAAACATGGGATATACATTTTCCCTATCTGTCTTCCCCCGCCCATGGCAACTAAAAATCTCTTCTCGTTTTAAGATAATAAAACAACCTGAACCTCATAATTCAATCAGACAGACAATGGTGCCTATACTGGGATGAAAAACTAAACCATACAACATTGAATGAAGGTTTCTAGTTGATCCTTAAGTGGGGGACATCCCCCCCCGAACCACCAAACTGCACTGAATCTATGTTGGGATTCAAACATCTCACTTTTAACAGAGACTTTTCTAGTGAGGATCTGAAAGTTGAGAGTCTGTGCCATCCTGGGTTGGATGAAAGAGACAACTTAGAACCCCATCTCCTCTATTTTCGTCTCTGCCATTTACATTTATACGTGTGTTCCTATTTTCATCCAACCCAGGATGGCACAGACTCTAAACTTTCAGATCCTCACTAGAAAAGTCTCTGTTAAAAGTGAGATGTTTGAATCCCAACATGGATTCAGTGCAGTTTGGTGGTTCCGGGTGTGTGTGTGTTATATATATAAACATCACTTACTTTATTTAGCAAAAACAGGAACGTTTCCATGCTCAGTGAAGGAGAGCCATGGGAAAAGACTGGAATGGTGATGGGAAGGGGAGTGTCTCTAATCAGAAGGGGGACAAACTGGAGTGAACCAAAGTCCTGGAGTGGAAAAAAACATTGATCAATGTAAACGAAAGGATCCCTCAAGTGAAGATAAAATAGATTACACTAAGAATAAGAACCTTTGAAATACAAAGCAGACTGCTCCAACTTCCACGATCTGAATGTGCCTGTACTTGCTATGCCTATTTTACTGTAATTGGTTTGTTCTCAGCCTTACAATACTCTTTAGTCCCATGTTCAGAATACCACCTATGTTCTAATGTGGTAAACTAGCTTTATGCAGCAAACAGCACTACGAAAGAGAGACGTGGAGAGACGTATGTAACTATTTGATTGACTCACCAGTTGTTGTTTTCAGCAAACGCCATGTTGTTTTAATCAGTGGAACCATTATAACCTGGTTTTCAATATAATTAAAACATCAAAGCTGAATAATGAGAAACAGGCAATGTAGCAGTAGCTCTCTTGCCATGGCTTCATCAGGATCTACAGTAAGAAAAATATTACTTTTTGGAACAGATTATTCTATTTTAAAGGGACATGTTCATAAACTGAGCTGTATAGACCACTTTGACATTTTTATATACCACATGGCATGAAGGAAAAAGACTCTCCCTTTTAAAAACTTCGTATAATCACAAAAAAGTAAAGTTATTTTAATACCATGTAGCAGTAGTAGCTAACTAATTAAATAACTTTTGGGATCTTGGGGTTGTAACTGTGAGTAATTCAGTTTTAGAGAGGCGTCTGTGTTAGTGTGTTTCTGCAATGACAAAACCAGAAACAAAAGTACTGTGGCATTTTTGAGACTAGCAAATTTATTTCAGCATGAACATTTTCAAATTGCAGTCTACTTTGAATAAATTTGTGATTTAATTTGTCTTAAAATCCAAGTATGACAAAAGAAGACGAAGTCTGAAATCCAGTAATAAGTTGCAACTGGAGTAGGCCCATTGAATCAGTGAAACTTACATATGTTGACTCACCAAGTCCCCATTCATACAGTAGGCCCATTCTAGTTGTGACTTACTGTGTGTGTGTGTGTGTGTGAGAGAGAGAGAGAGAGAGAGAGAATTAACATTTAGATTTACTTACTATCTTTTTTTATTATTATTTTCTTATAGGCTGAATATTTCTATGAGTTCCTGTCTTTGCGGTCTCTGGATAAAGGCATAATGGCTGACCCAACAGTAAACATCCCTCTTTTGGGAACAGTACCCCACCAAGCATCAGGTCTGTGACATCTGTGTGCATGTGTCTGTCCAAACATGTTCTAGTGATTTAAGAATGTAAGGACATCCACCTGGTCACATTTCTCTTGCATGCCGCCTTCTGGGGCCACGTGCCAGTGAGGAAACACAAGTTAATTTTACAGATATATTCTCAATCCCTCCTATTATCTCTCTTCTCTTTATGCTTTCTTTATCTTGTCCAATCTTCTTTCTTCTCTCCTTTGCTTTTATTCCACATATGTTTTCTCCCTTTCTCTCTTTCCCTCTCTTTCCTTTTTTTTTTACTTCATCCCTCTATATTCTCTTCTTTCCTTCCCCTGCTCTTTCTCCCCTGCACCCAGCTTTTGAGCGTACAGAGTGGTTGGAGAGTGAGCTTGTGGTTGAGAGATGGGTCTGTCTCTCTCCCCATTACCAACTCAGTGCCTTCTTAGGCACTGGGCTGCTGAGAAAGGGGGCATCCCGTTCTTGGTGCAATGCACAGGAGCACAGCCAAGTGATGGTGCAGAAAGAGAACAATGCATTACTCCACTGGCAGGTTGTTTGGCTTTTCTGCTGTGACTGAAAAAGCAATGCCCAGTCTCAATATGCAGCATGGGAATATAGCAAGATAGTGGAGCAGGAAGAGAGCAACCTAGAGAGCTTGCTTGATCCCTCTCTAGTTTGAAGCTGTTTCAAACATATTAACTGAGCAACCAGTGAGAGGGAGATTGTGTGGAAAGTAGGTTGAAACCTAATCTCCCTAGTAAATAGCTGAGAATTGGTGTAAAATGGCTACAGAGGGGGGAGGGGAGACATAAAAAGAGTGGACAATGCTTTAGAGAAGGCCCACTAGCTGGATTGGGAGAACAGCAATTGGTATGGGGGCATGAAATTATTCCCCAATTTTTAAACAACACTCCATCGTTAGAAATATGTAATACTGCAAACTGGACTTCCCCTAACACTGAACATTTATTTCATAGAAATCATGTACAATCAGCATAGCATCTCTTTTTTAAAAAAAAACTTTCTTGGCACAGTTCAAGCTCTTTAGTCTTGCTAAGCCAGAAATTGGGAGTTTGATTTCCCACTGGGCATCCAGGGAGAAGAGCCAGCTTGTGTGGTCATGGGCAAATTGCACAGTCCTAGAAGAACGGTAAGCTACTTCTGTGTATTCTCTACCTAGAAAACTCTGGAAAGGATTGCCATAAGTCAGAATTTACTTGACGGCACATGATAATGATGATGATTAATGGCGGTAATCTAATAGGAGCTGGTTCAAAGTACAAAGCATAAAATACACGTGTGTAAAACATGATTCTCACTCGGAATGTACACAAAGGCGTTAAATATTTTCAGTCTTCAACATCTCAACCACAGTAGCTAAAGGAACTTTGCTCCAGTCTGTGGACACTAACTGTGAAGTTGGCCAAAAAAATAGTTACGTGTTTTCAGAGCATATGTCCTAGGTGGCAAAATGTCAAACTTTAAAAACCTAGTACCCTGCTGACTTCGGTACGTACGGTTAAGTGTTCAAGAGTAAAAGTCCAGTTCAACTGAAATAATTTCAGTACTAAGCAAACACATTTGTTGACTAATGACACCTACTTGCATCTGTCATAACTCTCTGGCTGGGCTTAACCTGTGACGTACTGAACCACAATTAAAACCTGAGTTGATGCTGCTCCATTCTCTGGTATGGACGAGCTAGTCAAAAACAAGTAGATCGCTAAGCATTAGGAGGCATCAGTGTATTAAGCAGAGGCAGGCATAGCTTATATGTGTTCTATTACACTAGATACGCTGTGGTAAGATGGCATTGTTAATTTGAAAGTACTTCTATATAATGATATTACTGCTTCTGGAATATAATGTATTGGTTAAAAAAATTGACCTGTGATTGAAACAGTCCATTTAGAACAATGGTTTCCACCTTGAGTAATACAGATACTGTATTCTTGGACTGTAACTCCCAGAAACCCCAGCCAGCACAACTGGTGGTGAAGGCTTCTGGGAATTGGGGTTGGCAAACATTGATTTAGAGGAAATCCATGTGGTGACTGGCACACATTGCAGCCACTGGCGGCCTGGGATACAAGCAAGGAGTGTCAATCCCAGTTGTGCCACATAAATTGCTGGCTCATAAAAACATTTCCAGAAGCTTCCCACAGCATAAGTTAGCCTTCCCCAGCCTGGATTTCTCTTGATGATTTTTCACTACAACTTCTTTCAGCCCTAGCAGGGCCGGTAGTCAGGGATAACGGGTATTCTACTCTGCAACATTTGCAGCGGGTCCCTCCCAAGTGATGGCTAACACATACACGTCTCATATTTCTATTAAAATCTTGTTGGCCATTGATATCCCCCTTGTTCGCCCTCAGCTCAATCTAGCAAGTGCCTCCTGTGAAAATTTTCGCCTTTGAGTCAATGTGAGATTCTGTAAAAGGTCTGTGTTGGGCATTCCATCTGTGATGGCTGCTTCACACATACAAGTTCTTACTTGTTGTTGTAGCCATGTATCTGGACAATGTATTCTACTTGTTATGCAAAGTATACAAAATTTTCAAACTGGAAGTTGGGAAGATGCATACAAAATGCAGACAAAAGCACTATCTGCCATGCAGAATCATTTGTGCTGGATGAACTAACAACATGTGAACCACAAAAGCTCTTGAATTTTCACTGTAAGCGTATCATATGTTCCACATCTGAAAAGAATGAGAGGAGGAATGGCAAACTTTAGGAATGGATTAATTAAATTAATGTGCTGTGAAATATGATTTTCCATATGAATCAAGCAAGGCATGGGGAAATCCCTGGTTCAAGGTACAGTACGTCAGTCACAAGGACTGACTCTCTTATTAGGCACATGCCACAAAGGGAAAGAGGAAGCAAGATATTTGGAGTCAGAGGCCAATGCCCCACCCCTTAGGCTAGTGTGCCAGCCTCCGGTACAGTGAAGGGTATACAGTAGTCCCTCACCAGCATAAAAATCAGATTCAACTGCCTGTCCAGTTGGCTTCTGTATGTAAAAGAGTGGAGTGACACATGTTGCACTTTGCTTGAGATAGTGTTGACAGTCAGCACAAACATTTCTTGTAGACATGAAGTGCTCAACCTCGACTATTTTTCTTGTCCAGTCCTCTGGAGGAAGAGGACCTCCTGGGTCAAGTAGGAACTCTCCTTTGCTATTATTTTGGGAGGTCTGGGCTGAATACTATTGGCCTCATGGTGGTAATGGTTTTGTGAGAATGTACTGAGGCAGTTATAGAAATGCAGAAGATATTCCCATATGGTGAGCGTGTGCAAGCATGTGGATCCATATGTATGTGTGCACCATCCTTAAAATGTTTGCATTAAGTTAATACATATGGCACACCACTGTATTAATTAAATTAGTTGAAAATATATGTGTACATGTTAAAATGACACATATTTCATAATCTCAACTTTTCTGGAACTGTTTAAGAAGGGGCCTACAAGGCCATCGAGTCCAGTCCCCTACTCAACGCAGGAATACAATCAAAGCATATCTGCTAGGTGATTATTCAAGCTTTTCTTGAATGCCTCCAGTGTTCAAGCACTCAACAACTCCCAAGGTAACTGGTTCAACTGTCATGCTGCTCTAACAGTTAGAAAGTTGTTCCTGATATTCAACTGAAATCTGGCTTCCTTTAACTTGAGCCCATTGTTGTGTGTCCTGCACTCTGGGATGATCGAGAACAGATCTTGCCCCTCCTCTGTATGACAGCCTTTCAAATATTTGAGAAGTGCTATCATATCACCCCTCAGCCTTCTTTTCTCAAGGCTAAACATGCCCATTTTTTCAGCCTTTCCTGTAGTTAATGCAGTTACTATCCTGTTTCCCTGAAAACAAGACCTAACCTGAAAATAAGCCCTAGTATGATTTTTCAGGATGCTTGTAATATAAACTTTGCCCCAAAAATAAGCCCTAGTTAAGTGAAAACCTCACCCTCCACCATTGTGCAGCATTGTGCAGCAACCAGAAGAAGATGACATGACTGTAAAATAAAACATCCCTTGAAAATAAGCCCTAATGCATTTTGAAGCAAAAATTAATATAAGACCCTGTCTTGTTTGGGGGGAAACATGGTAATATTTTTGCTGTGAGTGCAAATAGAATTGGCACTAAAAATTGAGAGAATCAAAATATGAAAGCAAGATGATGGTAGTTAGGGCTATTTTAACCTAAAAACTGTGACATGAGTGATGCTGATATATATATATGATGAATTCTGCTGTTTTTTCTATTTACATTATTTATTGTTTGCAAAAACAAGATAACCATATACATAGATTTTATTCCTTGAAACTATGATAAGCAGACATCTTAGAAGTACATTACATTGTCTTAAAATGTGCTGTGCAAGACATGTGAAATTGACTAACAAATGCATGTTTTAAAAGCATCAATGAGAAAGGAAAACTAGCCATGAAGAAAGCAGACGAGTGTCACTATTAATCTTAAGTGGTCTTCAGATAAATCAACCATAGAATAGCAGGGAAGGGCTGTGCATGTATGAGGTCTTTCTCTTTTTAAAAATATTCCTAATTCACTACTTCCCATTGATCCTCTGCATTTTTTGAAAAGGTTGTATTGAAAGGAGCAGTTGTCTTGAAGTATATATTTTTTGCACTTCAGATACTTTATACACTTGGTTAAACTTGTGTCTTTGCAACCTGTATCTTTTTCTCCCAGATTTCTCGTACATTGTATTATTTAATAAACAAACATAACAATAATGGTATCACTTAAAGTAGCCATTTTTTAGAAGCCTGTAAGTTCAAACAGGAACACCACATTTATATATTTACTCATAATTCTTCTCCCATATTAACTGAAACCTCAATCCTATTCTCTTACACAATTGGCAGGCTCATCATTATGGACCTGGTCTCACACCATTTGCAAAACTGGGGATGTGACTGGTGTGCAGTGAGAAGGGAAAAGACTTAAAGTGTACAGAAAACAACAGAGTTTTGGTCAGAGCTTTTAACTCTAAGCATACCTTGGATTCTGCCACTGTGCTTAGAACTCATTCTTCATGAATTGAAGGTAGAGCTTTGAAAAGTGAGCTTTTAGGCCAACCGGATATACATGGACAGCTAAGAAATTCTGGAGTGATTTTTTTTCTTCCTGTTACTACTTGTTGTTTAGCTGAGAGTCAGTTTTTGTGACAGTCATAGCAGGAAATGGAAGGGTCAAACCTCTGTGATCTTCGTTCAATTGGTCTGTCCCCTCCCCAAGTGTGTTTAGCCTTAAAATTTAAAAACAGCAACAGCTTTGCACAACATTGCAGGAGACACAAGTAATATCTTACATAGTTAGATCTCTGCATGAAGTGGGAGGAAGTCTGCAAAGGTTCTCATGTGGGTTTTTAAACATTAAAGCAGTTAATGTGAAACAGGAGCCACAAACTGGATGGAGTTAAGGCTGTCCCACCATCTTCCCCATCTAAATCTCTCTTCAGAAAATACTGTTTTTCTTGTAAGGCAAACAGCAACTTTGAGGGGCAACTAAAGTGAGGAAAATTGCATCAGAGAACAATTAAGCCTTCTCCCAAATTTTGCAGTACATCTGATCAAATCCCCCTTTCTCCTCTGTGCAGCTGTTCCTCACTAACAGTAACAGTCATTACCCCCTAGATATCAGGATCTCCCACTATGTCATCTACTCCACTGACGTCTGCAAGCAGGCATTAGCTCTGATAGCCTCCATGTTTGAAGGTAGTGGACTACTGAACAACAGATGTTCGGTGAAAAACAATGTTGACTCCACGTTCTACTTGTGCACTTCCTGGCTGGCTGCTGTTAGAAACAGGATGCCAAAACAGATGGATTTTTGACATAATCCAGGCTGTAAGTTCTCTTGTTCTAAAGACTGCTTCATGCACTGATGTCAAGAAAATAGGCACACTGTATTAAAACCACCATGGTAGGAGTGCACTGGACAAGATAATTTGATCCTTAAAGCTCTGTTTAGCCTTCGGCAGCCTGGTACCACACCTTTAGCCAGCCTCCCTGATTAGGTGAAGCACCACTTTTCTAGGTGGGGCATTTTTTATGAGGAGGTACATGGTGTCAACTAATATCTGCCATTCACTGGTAGAGAGGATGTTAGGGTCAGTTCATCCCCATCACTCCTCTTCCAAGCAGAGAGTGTTTTAACTTACAATGGCCTACATACAGCTAAAGTTAATAGAAAATGTAATATTAACATCAGGCATTAACAGGACTGGCATATATATTTTTTCCATGAGAAAAAAGAAATGTCAAAGATACACTGAACAAGAGGAAAGCAAAAGAGGTAAAATAATCTGAATAGCTTGTTATAACTAAAAAGTTAAAACTAGTTGGATATGTGTAGTTTTTAAAAAATAATTTTACTGTGTGTGGTGCCAAGAAAATACAGATAGCTTTTGTGTAGAACTTTGTAAGACTGAGTCCTTAACATTGTAAACTATTTACTTCATAATAGGCTTCTCCTTTGTAAATTTTTTAAAATGCTTGATAAACATGCAAGAAAGCTTTCTGAATGGTGGGTTCACAATATACCTTTTCAGATAAAGGAAACTGCATAGCACATAAAAAGAATATCTTAGCACAGTTGTCACTCTTGATTTTTCCTGGAATTAAATTAATGCAAACATTTTATTAAAAATAAGGCTAGCAGACCTATTATTTTCAAGTGTTTAAAAAATCCATATTTGCTAAACCTTTAGTCACTGAAAGTCTGTGTGGGTTAGTTAGAACTGAAAATGTTGGTTCAAAACATTTGGGTTGTTCTTCAGGCAAAATTCTTTGTAGCAGCCATAAGTTGGTAAATACCTGCAAAGGCCACTCTTTGCTGGCAAATGACTTGGAACACACTAGTATTGATTTGCTTTTCTATTAACATTTTGGCCAGTCAAAATATAGCCCATAATACAAAGTTCTAATATTTAACTCTTAAAGTGTCATACAGCCTGTCGTTTTCAGGATCATTTATTCAAGGTGATCGTGATAAAGAAAAATCAACCCTTAGTAAGGAAACAACTTGAATGAGAAGATTTTTGGGAGCTCTTCCAGATGAGGTTTTTGTTCTGTACTCAGATTTATTATTTCAGAGGATCCCATTCTTACATTGCTCCTGTACTTAAATCAAGCTTTCATTCATTAAATGGATACTGTAATTGTCATGTCAATTGTAAAACATTATTTTAAAAAATCAAGGCTTCAGGGCATGGTACAACTGGGGTAAGGGGGCAATTGCTCCACCCTGTGTGTAATTCTGATTAACTCACAGCCAGCACAGGGCCATGTGTCAATAACCACTTGCGTGTTCACTTAACAAGAATGAAATATATGGGCAAGTGCAATATATTTTGTCACATTTTATGCCATAGTCATCAATAGATTATCACTGGTATAGTGTCTTTTCTTCATTTTCAAAGTTCACAAATAATAAGATTGTCTCTTACACAATTAATGCAGCATTGCTAATATATCTCTTTCTTGTTTGGGGGTTTGTGTGAATTCCTTATAGTTGTTCAGATTGGATTTCCTTGCCTTGGGAAGCAAGATGGTGTGGCAGCATTTGAAGTTATAGTAATTATCATGAATTCAGAAGGCAATATTATACTCCAAACGCCACAGAATGCCATCTTCTTTAAAACATGTCAACAAGGTAAGTGAAAGTGATCTAAAGAGAGAGTTATTTGTCACGTTCTAGAGCCAAAACATACAATATAGATGGCACATCATTAGAAGCGGAAAGTGTGTCACTCAAACAGTAAATGCTTTCAGTTTCCAGCAACATGCTTTCATGTTTGGAGACTGTCAACAGCAGATCACATATAGCAATCCTTTCCATATCTTCAGGAGTTCAGTGATCCTCCAGAGAGTTTTTTTTGGGGTCTGCAGCAGCATGGGGAGGAAACAAGACAATTTCCTTCTAAAACCTAAATTCTAGCTATGTTAGCCGATTGCAGGGGGGGGGAAGCAAATTCCCACGGGACATGAAGCCTAATTCTGCTATAAATTTATTATAGCAGAAGCTTTTGTGCACATGATAAATGGGCTACAGTCCAGGAAAGTTCATGTTATAAAGAAATTGTCTTCAAGGAAATAGGTTTTCCTCTTTCTTAATCTTCATTTCAGTTAACATTTGTTTAAGATACAAGCTTGTAGATGTAGTTTTCTCATATACAAGAAAGTGGCTGAAATTCTGTTGCTTAGTATAACTTTCCATCTCTTCCTACCTAGCAAGTGGAGAGTCCTGGCCATGATTCTTAAGAGGGGGAGACATTCACAGACGGTGTGTGCTCATCCCCAAGAATTGTGGCAGGGATTATACATTTGCTGGTTTGGAACAGGCTGAAAGTATGTATGTATGTATGTATGTATTGCATTTATTGCATTTATTGCATTTATTGCATTTATTGCATTTATTGCATTTATTGCATTTATACCCCGCCTATCTAGTTGAACAACCGCTCAAGTTAAATATTCTTATGCTAAGCAACAGGCTTTCATCCATTTTATCCAGAAGCTAGGAAAGTTACTTTTTGGATTATGACCCCCAGAATATCAGTGCTGGGTGTGGGAGGATTCTGGGAAGAGTGTTCTAAGAAGTAAACTTTCTAAGCTTTGATTTTATCTGAACATCTCAGTCAATATGTATTCCCAAAATGGAAGCTGTTCAGTTGGACACTGGGATTTGCTCCCTGGGTACCTTTAACCATTATATCATCAAGAGCATCTGATGCTCTAACTCAAAAAACAACTAAATTATTTGGAACACATGCAATTCATTTAATCTGCATTATTATCTTCTTTGAAGCTGAATGTCCTGGAGGATGCAGAAATGGAGGGTTTTGCAATGAAAGACATGTCTGTGAATGTCCAGATGGATTTTATGGTCCTCACTGTGAAAAAGGTAATCAAAAAAGTTTCTTCAATTATTGTATGTACTTTATTTATATTACAAGGACAGCCAGGCGGTCGCTGCCTTTCAAAATATTGTTTTGTAGAAGTTTTCAGATGTGGGTAAGAGGCTTCCAAAAATTAAATCTAAGCACATAAGAAAAATATTTTATGAGCTGTGGCTTCTAAGAAAACATGGATTGTTTAGACAAAAGATAAAGCAGTCTCCAATGAAGGGTTTAAAAGGCAGAATAAAAATGACCAACAGCTGAAAGAGAGTCCATCTGGCAAAACATTAAGTAGAACACTCTTGCTAATGAGCAATAACTGTAAACCTAAATACCACAGTTATTGCACTCGGCTGTTGTTGAAGAAAATATCCCATTTTGATCATAAGAGCAAGTCTATATCTGTGAAGAGGATTAAACTGTGCAAATACGAGTCTTATCATAGCATATTTCCAATGAGGAATATTTTCTGGGACTGGTCCTTATTTTTTCATATCTGAGCCATTTTTGGGTTTGGGGGGGGAGGACATGCACAAGGTAATGCCATTCAGATGTGCTGAACTACTACTTCTATCAGCTCCAGTACATTTGACCCCCCCAGGGCCATACCTTGAAGGGTGCCAGGTTTGGAGGGTGCCAAATATGGAACCATTCTGCAGACATTCTCCACTGCATATGCTGATAAAGGTCAAACTATACCTGATTATCTTAGCCCTTTGTGTTGATGCAATTAACATATCCTGGTTGGCTGATTGGCCATCTACATAACAGCTCCACAGAGAAGGATGAATAGGGCATAATAAGTTCTTTCAATTAAAGCTTTTAAGAATACCCCACCAGCATGGCTGTGTTAGCTAAGGGAGTCTGGGTCCTATAGTCCAAAAATAACTTTGCCAAGCTCTGGGCTTCCGCAGCCTCTAGAATGGAAGGGGCAAAACAAATAAGGTTGAGAGCCATGTTTCAGATTTGCCAGCAGCCTGAGGGCCACAATCCCAAGAGGTCATAGCCAGAGAGCGTAATTTGCACATTTTCTTTCTTTTTTAAAAAATTTAAAACTGTCTGAATTCATAATTCCCCTAAAAAGTATCAATTCATAAAGAAAGTAAATGCCCACCATAATATAACTCCAATTACTACTGTTAGCTCCATGGGACCAAAGCATACTTAAATAAGAATCAAAGAAGTAATATAACTTCTTAAAAAATCCTATGTAATTATATTAGTTCATAAAAGCATTCATCTGTTAAATTCATTGCAGAAGGCAAAAGGGATTTTGTATTTAGTTCATTAATTGTATGCCTAACGTTGTGCTCACCCCAGGCCACAGGAACAACGAACTGCATGCACACATAATTCTTTGTAATAAAAAGGCCACAATTTTATTAGTTACAGTAGCAGTATCCCTAGCACAGCACTAGGAAAGGATCCAAAGCAGCAGACATTCTAAATTCCTCCCAGCGCCGATCACACAATTCCTAGCTGATGTCCATTGGAGAATATGCCACTTTCTGGCTCCCTGCCATAGAGATCTGTGTGACAGTTGCCTTGCCCCCAACTCTCCTGAAGAGAATTCCTCTGATATCTGATAGCCAGGGCTACCAAGCTCTCACCTGCTGACTTCCAGTGCCTAGATCCACCCCAGTGCCCCGAACCGCCAACAAACATGCAATGAAAAGGAGGAGGATTAAAATAATACTCTGTACAGAGGGACCCTGTCCACTAGCAGTAATGATGTAGACTCATTCAACATAGACATCCTGGAAGGCAGAATCCCACCAAGAAGTAATCCCCCCAAAACATTCATATACAATAAATGATTAGCAATAGTGTGGCCACACATAGTATAGATCTTCCAAACAGTGCTACCCAGCCCCATACCTCAAATAAACAGCTAAACAGTAAAGCTATATACAATGCAATACAGTATTGCAGTCAAGGCCTCCGCTAAAGACCAGAGTTCGATTCCAACGGCCAGATCAAGGTTGACTCAGCCTTCCATTCTTCTGAGGTTAGTAAAATGAGTACTTAGCTCACGGTGGGGGGAGTTGTTTGCACAATTATGTTATAAACTACCCAGAGGGTGCTCCAAGCTCCATGGCGCAGTATATATGTCAAAACAACAATTATGAGACTTACTTTAACCAAACATACAGTATACAGAGCGCATAGATGGGGAAACCAGTCAAGTGGAGACTGCTGTCAGATCAGAGTGAAGCCTGGTCTCCTAAGGTCTACCACTCCCAGGTTCCTATACTATCCATCCAGCCAGTCAATAGAGAAGCCATCAGGAAGGGACCCAGGAGTGGATGATTTATTGGCCTCCTGAGCACAGCCCAGGAGACCAGAAGGAGCTGCTATCCCAAGGCACAGCTCCCTCCTGATTTTGGGCCACCGACCTGGCAACAGGCAGGGGTTCCCAGGTAAGTCTGGGTCCTCACATTTCCACTAGGTAGTCATATTTACTTTGTTCAGTGACTGGGGAGAACGAGGAAAGGTAGCAACAGCCTCATAGAATTGCAGCTGTGTCATTCTGTGTTTCCTTGATAGCCCTAATGAGATTAGAGACAGACAGGAAATGCTAGGCGTGCCTCCTGTTAAGAAGGAAGTGACAAAGGAACAAGGAGGGGGCTGTTTCCCAAGGTAATTAAGCTAATCAATTGGAATGAAAGATGTATAATGGCTAAAAAATAAAAGGCATGATGCACATGATCTTTCTTCCCACAGGTTTGCAGCAGAGGATCACTGTGATGATAGAAAGTCATTCCTGTGCATTAGAGAAATTGCTATGTTGATATTATTATTGTTGTTGTTGTTGTTGTTGAAGAAAGTGCTTCTCTACTGCATAATGGCAATTCTCTGTTCCCATAGTGATTTTGTTGTTTCCATGTTTTGGTATGGAGTCTTCAAGGGTTATCAAAGGGGAGAGGCCCTTGCAGCGGGTGCATGCAGGATACAGCCATACTTTGCCCATCCCTGCTTTAAACCTAGGAGGGTCTTCTCCCTTACCGTGGCTCTGACAAAAATGGATTGTTTCCCCCCCACACACACACACTGTTTCAATTCACAGGCCGCTACCAGAAAGACATGGCTAGTGGGCACATCTTTGTTGAAGGTCTGGCCCCAGCACACTTATGAAGCAAAACTCAGCCTGGCCACGTTTAAAGCCCTTTAAACACAGCAGAGAACAAACCCGTCATTTACCTTTATTGTATTATGGCGTTCAGAGTGCTTGGCTGAAAGAGAGACTTGGCTGGGGTGGAAAGACCTCAAGTCCTGTTTATCCTGTTACATTTGGAGGTTCTGTCTGCAGTGGAATTAATAATGTTGTTTATGGAGGAGGCAGTTAAGTCACATGATTTGTGAGATAAAAGTACACTGCATGTATACGCCATGGTTTCCAACCTGTGAGTCCCAAAATGTTTGACTAGAACACCCAATAGGTTTGCTTGATCATCAGTGTCTTGCTCCCTGCAAGGTCAGACCAGAGCAGGAGGCCAGGAAATGGGCCATTGTGGTGCCACAAAGGTAGGGAAGGGAAGGGTTTAGGGGAGAACCAGAATGGCTTCTGGGCTAACTGATTGTGGAAACTGACACAAAGGGAAATCAGGGCAACCAGCACTAACAAGCTAGTAACAGTTGGAGGAGGGAGCCAGTATTTTTTGGTAGCCGAGGAAGTGACGAAATGCACTCAGCAGCTGGAGTGTTTGCTGCCATTCCTTCTAGGGCTCACATCCTGTTCCTCTGAGCCCTACACTGTTGCTGGGATGTAATAGAAGGCTCACCGTCAGCCCACAGGGAATGTTTTTCAAGATCCTGAACTGCTGCTGCAGGCTTTTGCAACAAAATGGTTCACAGGTCACAATACTTTTGCCCCACTCCTTTTATAGCTCATGATGGGCCTAACTTGCTGTCTCCAGAATCATCTCCACTCCTTCCTGCTTTTGTTGGCATGCACAAGCACAATAAGCACACAGATACCTTTGAATGGAACTGATAAAGCCCATCACTAGCTGAGAAAGGGTGAAGATGACCGTTCAGGCTTTAAAATTATCACATACACAAATTTCCAATCTGCTCCTCTTTCAGTGCCAATGAGCCTGAGATTTATCCCTCTCTCGGGTGTAGATTTAATAATTCCTTGGGAATCGCCTTCAACAGGCACCGTGAGATCTGGTAATCTTAACTCCCAGAATCCCTTATTATCACCTGGTCTCAGTAGGCCTTCTGGGAGCTGATGTCCAGCAAAAACTGAAGACTCAGGATCCATTGTTGTTGGTTTTAATAAGAATTATCCTTGAGTCAACCCTGTTAATCTCTGCATTCATTATAAGAAACTTAATGTGATGTTGGTTCGCCCTCCCTTTTTTTTTGCATCAGCTCTATGTACACCACACTGCATGAACGGTGGACTCTGCGTCATGCCTGGATTATGCATCTGTCCACCTGGTTTCTATGGCATCAACTGTGATAAAGGTATGCTGAGAAGGATTGGGATTACTCCTGCAAGTTTTCCTGGATTCAATCAGTGGGATGAGCCATTAAATTCATATTTTAAAGAATAGATCTTCAACAAGTCCAACAAGCAAGCTCTTAAAAATCCATCAGGTTGAACTACCTTCTTGCCATCCATGGTTTGTGCTCTTCTTTTCCCAGTATGACTCCAGGGCCTTCTCTCTGGATTAGTCCCGCTTCTTGCCCCTGCCCACCCCGTTAGTGTGGGATAGTCCCACTACTTCATGTCCATTCCTAGCCAGTGCCAAACTTGGCCAGTGTGCCAAATACAGATGTGGCCAAGGTCCAAGCTATACATTTCACTAGAAGTAGACTAGAATTGGGCACAAAGCCCAAAACAAACCAGGAAATTCATGAGAAATTGCCAGTTCATTGTTTCAAATAAGTTCAAGTTCATCCAAACCGGAGAACCTGAATTTTCCCAAAGCAATGAATTTTGGGATGATTTATGAACCTCCTGGTTTATTCTCCCCCCCCCACAACTTCCCCCCCACTCTCTTCTCACTCCCACTGCCCCTTTCCCACTGCCCCCATTGCCTCCCTACATCATCCTCATGAAATAACTCTGAAATAGCCCCCAATTTTGTTGTACTCTACCAAAAGTATACTTAAAAGTTACATATTTTAATGTTCTGTTTCTTCCTCTTAGTAAACTGCACCACTACCTGCTTCAATGGAGGAACATGTTTTTATCCTGGAAAATGTATTTGCCCAGCAGGCCTTGAGGGGGATCAGTGTGAAATTAGTGAGTGCCATTTCCCCTCCCCCCCTTTAAAATACCAAAATCAACGAGTCCCTTTTTCTTTTCTTTTTTTCTCCTCCTTTTGGTTTCTCCCCTTGCTTTCTCCTCTTCCTCTGTTTGGATGTTATCCTGGCTGCACTGACTTCGGATGCGTCAGCTTTAAACAATGATGTTCTGCTACATCCAAATCAATCTCCAAGGCTCTTTAGCCAGTAAGTTCTTTTCCTTCCTACAGTTCTTTCTCAGATATTTTAACAATCTGGATGTTTCCTTTCGTCGTTCTGTGACCAAAGTACTTTTGCTTGCTGCATTTTAGAGTTTTACGATTTCTTGGTTTTTCATAACTTCTTCACTATTGTTTTCACTAAACAGAAGATACAGTATTCTCCTTGAGATTCCTGAAATATTTAAAGTCTTGGGCTTTGGATAACAGGACTCAGTTTTGTCCTGTATACATTTCACTAACAATAAGGAAGTAATGGGGCAAGATAACAGGTAAAATCAATCACAGTGAGGATGGGAAATATTGGGCTCTTCGGGTTTTTGTTTTTTGTGGGGTGGGGGTTTGGGGGGGGCTGCCAGCATAGCCAACAAAGAACAGTGGTGGCCGTGGTCCAGAAATTACCAGAGGTCCACACGTGCTGCACTCATCATATTAGTGGTTATCCATGATTCACCCATATCATCTAATTAATATAGACTAGCCAAAATCGTTTTGCATAGATACACTCAAGGAGGCCAATAGCATAACACATAGCAACTTCTTCCTAGCAATTAACAAGCCCCTCTTTGGAGTTCAGGTGCATACCAACCCAGCACACGAGTGTGCCTGAATATCCAAGCAGATATTTCTTAATTAACAGTGAGAAGCTGTTCTAAATTTCCTTCTGCAGCTCTTGTGTAACTCCTATAATACCTCACCATCTGCTGTGCTGGCTAGAGCTGATGGAAGATATAGGCCAACAAGACATCTGGAAGGCCACAATCACCCACACTGTTATAAGCAAACACATAACGGAAGTCAGTAGTTTGGGTTTTTTTTTTTAACTCAAAGAAAACAGCTTTGAAAAGAACAGAGCTGGAGCAGAGAACTTACAGGTGAAAAAAGGGTTAAATGAATCCTGACCTGAAGTTAAAAACAAAAAAATATGGCACCAAGGCTTCCATACACATTTTTGTGTTGTCCAGCAACTCTAGAATCCTCAGTTAGAGTCCAAAGAGCTACCTGGGTTATGGCCAAAAGCTTTTATGTAGCCCAATCAGTTTTTAAGCTTTTTCCAGCCCTCTCCATATTCTATTCAAATGTTTAGAAATATTACTTTTTAAATATATAACTGGAAGAGTCCAGAAATTAGTGCCAAAAACCCCTCACCCTTTTTCAAACTGTGCACTTCTGAATTACGCACACGCAACTCAATCCTACTTCATACTGGAATAGGTATCCAGTCTGGGGGAAGTTAGAGTTTCTTGATCATAGAAGTGGTCTCATTCATGTCCTTAATGGTGTTTGATTAGCTTTTACTGAATTATAGGCATCGTTGTCCTTTTTTTTTTTTTTTCCTATTTCTAGGTAAATGCCATCAGCCATGTAGAAACGGAGGTAAATGTACTGGTAAAAATAAATGCAAGTGCTCCAAAGGCTACCAAGGAGAGCTTTGTTCAAAGCGTAAGTACTGAACCCATTTGATCATTTTCTAAAAATCTGACTAAGAGTTAGAATTTTATATTACAGAAAATATTATCATCTAGATAGCAGAAAGATACATAGTTATGATACAATAAATGTCTTATTACAGCTGTCTGTGAACCTGCTTGTGGATTATATGGCACCTGTATTGAACCCAATACATGCCAGTGTCAAGAAGGCTGGCATGGAAGGCACTGCAATAAAAGTAAGTGGTACCAATAAGGTATGACAGATCAGTTCTATAAATGCAGAATATTGGCTTGAGGTGAACATCTTCTCTGATCATACATTGCTGCTCTTCTACAGTACATTAGTTGCTTAAGCACAACGTGGTTGAGCAAAGCTTGTTAGAAATGTGACCATTGCACAAGTCATCTTCCCCAACCAATTGGTTATATGCCCAAACTGCTGCTACTGCTGTTATGGCAAAATTAACCACTGCAAATATGCAATTGAGATGCTCAGTTTCTGCCTATGTCGGTCATAGATTGACCTGGAGGACCAAAAGTTGTGCTGTATGCTGCGCAGTTACCTAAGATAACAGAACCTGACTTCACAATGGATAGAGACAGCATACAACAGATCAGTGTAGATTGTATATGTAATAAGGTCAGAGCTTAGAATGTTGTTTATGAAAATGAGAAGTCATTATTTCCATCCCCCTCCTCCAATAGTTAGCTATTGCTATAGTTGTTTTTTAAAGTAACCTTTTCCTTTCCTGTTTCACAGAGGTAACCAAAATAATTTTAGCTACTTTTTAAAAATTTGAACAGTATAAGTCACTGGCCTATACATAAAACACTTCTCTCATCAGTCTTATCCTCTCCTTATGTACCCACAACACAGCATGAGACACAATACGATCCAGCACTTGAACCATGTCATGTTCCTCCTACATTATTTAGTGTGGCCAAAACCCCATAAAAGTATATTCAGAAATTTTAGCTACACCATAAAAGGAATGAAGTTATCCTTCATTAAGTTACAATGTAATGTAACACATTTATACTGCATTATCAGAAAAGAAATTAATTGCAAGTAACTAGTTATTGGCAACTAAGTACTGTACTTCTAAGCTTGAATATCAGAAGGGGTCTGTTTGCAACATGGCACTGCCTTTGTTGGTGTGGGGACTATGTGTGGTACATAGTCAACCTATCTGCCTTCCATTGCATGAAGCCATGGTACATGAACATGACATAGTGAAGACAGCAGCCTGCTTTTGTAATTTCTTTGCTCCTGAACGGGATTGTTTTTCAGGGTATGGAGCCAACCTTCTGAACGCCCTGAGGCCAGCAGGCACCAAGCACCGACAGTACACACCCTCACCTAAAAGGGCTGAAGAGAGGCAAGAGCCTGCTGAATCCAATTATATCTGGTGAACTGCAAACATCTGAAACGTTTTATGTTACACAAAGTTCATAGCCTTCATTAACCTTTCATGTGTTGAATGTTCAAATGCTGTTCATTACGTTTTAACATTACTGGCCTGAATTTTACTAGTTTCATTATAAACCACTGAGCTGATATTTTTAATATTCCTTTTTAAGTTTTACTTCTCTAGCACAGTTATATAGGCTTCTTCAGTTATATAGGCTTCTTGTTTCCATAGCTTTTGACCGGTTTCTTTTTGTCCAGTATTTCAATTCTTCATTGAATCAATATTTTCCTGTTCAGAAATTCCTGAGAACAAATTAAGAATCTAAAAAAGGAGAGTGTTATAAATGCAGGTTTCATACAAATTCTTCTTCTGAATTGTGCTTAAACAACTAGAAGATTTAATTTTAATTTTGGCATGATGAGAGTTTTACCTGTTTTGTTAAATAAAACAAATGCTTTCTAATTTAAAACCAGTTCCCATGTCTACAGGATGTTCTATATTAAATACAATGTGGTTGTAGTGTTGAAACAATATAATATATTGGGAACAATGTGGAACTATGAAGTATGAACACAAATGTTTGCATTCGCTTATAGCAATATAATATATTGCACACAAAACAGCTCTTATGTAATAAACATTTTTATACTGATTTTTATGTATGAAATAAAGATGCTGCTTTAGTTTTTGTGTGATGTGATGTGGCATAATATTAGAGGAAGGAGAAGGCCTGATCTTATGGTTGGAAAGGATTTCCTGTGCATCAAACACAGAGGTGAACTGGACGGCCTACAAGGTGACTACAAGGAGACAATGTGTACCAGTGCACGGGTGCTGTGCACAAAAAGTCTATTAAGGGATGTGGTGGCGCTGTGGGCTAAACCACAGAAGCCTGTGCTGCAGGGTCAGAAGACCAAGCAGTCGTAAGATCGAATCCACGCGACGGATTGAGCGCCTGTCGCTTGTCCCAGCTCCCGCATGTGTACCAGTGCACGGGTGCTGTGCACAAAAGTCTATTAAGTACTTCCTTTATGTCTCTGAAAGATCAGACATGTATCACACTAGAGACACTGTCGGGATAGTTTCAATGTTAGCCCTATCTAGAGTAGATTTGCTGCAATCAATGGACTTACCTTAGTCATAAATAATAAGCCCAGTTTATTTCAGATAGATGCCCAGTGTGGTATAGTGGATGGAGTGACAGACTAGGACTCTGGAGACCAGGGTTCCAATCCTCACTTAGCCATAGAAACTCATCCCGGGGGGGGGGGGAGGCACGTGGAATTGGCAAAACCACTCTTTAAATATCTCCCTTACCTTGAAAGCCCTGTTAGAGTTGCCATAAGTTGGCTTTGACTTGACAGCACACAACAACAACAAATGTAAAGTAATATATTCAGTGTATATACTCCTACCCAATCCTATAGTTCTAGAGCTGATTTATTGAAGTGGACTTGTTATGTTGGATCTAGATGCTTGAAGTGGAAGCAAATGGAATGCTAGACCAAAGGCAGGAAAACCTCTTTAACTATGAGAGACCAGATTCTCACCCCCCCACCTCACCCCCACACACACACACAGAGAGTCTTTGAGATGCTGGATGACATCAGTGGCATATCCATGCCCCCTCATGTTACTGAATTCCAAGCTTCATTGGTAGTTCCTTGACTAGGCAAAACCCATGTGCCGTAATCACCTTAAACCAAGTACCAGATGCAGGATGCTTCTGCAAGCAACACTTCAGTATTTGAGGACGTGGTTTCTTTGTGTACAGACTGCTCAACTGCTTGCGCATCTATCTCAGTGGTTATTACAGCAGCCTTGACTTATGGCTGTGGTGCCACAGTATACCAACTCTGATAATTAGTTTGATTTAAAATTTTTCTATGGCTTTCCAGTCAATCACCACCCACCAAAAGCAGAGTGGGAGATTTGAAGTGGGGATGAATAAAGCTTCCTCTCAGGCTCCCTGTGTCCATCTATCCCTCCTTACTTCCACCACTGCAATTCCCACCGCCTCAGCTAGTTACCCAAAGACACAATTTGCAGCGACAGAGGGGCTTACATATGCAAAAACTATTGAAATAAATCAGGTTTCACATGTGTGCTAAAATAAACAATCCTGTGGCAGAAGAGTATTTTACATTGCTTTCCAACCAGAAAGCAAGCTTCCCTGGCAAAATAATGTGTGGTTCCACTTGTGTCATGGAGACACCTTATTTTAAACCTTTTTTAAAAAAGCAGAATGTGATACAACAGTGTTTTTAATGCCAGTAGAATCAATCCCTAAGCTTCCATTTGTTCGCCCTGATTCAGTTCTTGACTAACAGAGACACCAACCTAGAACTCAAACAACTTTGGATGGAAAGGAGAAACAGAGTTAGGTGACATCTTCATGCTGGTGGCGTGAGACCTCAAAAGCTCAGGATAATCTCTCACAGTGGTTTCATACATATGTTAAAGAACATGTGGAACAGAACAGAACCTTGAGGTCAAAGGCTGAGGCAGTGAGCAGGAGTCCCCCAACACCACCTTCTGAGTTTGCCTTTCCAGGAAGAACACGAACCACTGCACAGGCAGAATCAACAGGGACACACCTCCATCATGATCCAGCACAGATTGTTCACTGAAATAACCGAAGCTGTCTCTTTCCCATAGCCAGGCCTGAAACCAGACTGAAATGGATGTAGATATTTCATCTTATGCAGGAACTCCTGGAGCTGAGAAGCCACCACATGCTCAGTGTTTCAGGCTGGAGAGTAATTCTTCAGTACAGTGAGGTTTAAGGAGAATCTTTTCAAGAATGTCTTTTATTTGGCATAAAAGTTTGTGGGCTGCAACCCATAAAAGCTTATGCCAAATAAAATTTGTTCATATTTAACAAGTGACAAGACTCTTAGTTATTTTTGCTGAAGCAAACTAACATACTTATCCACCTGAAATTAAATGGCAACTAATACTAATAGAATAGCCTTACCAAACCTTTAATTATTCAACAGTTTTGACTGCATCTGTGCTAGTCTGTGACCACAATAAAATTTTTGCTGGTTGACTGACTTACTAGTAGTAGTGGACTTCACTGACGCCTCTTTCCCATAGTAGCCTTTTCATTGCTCTGCAAATGCTGCGTAGTGCATCAAACAGTCCTGGATGGGCAAGATAGGGAAGGGGGAGGAATGGTTGGGAAATTGTACTCCCAAATTCTCGGTCAACAGCCAGGTACCCAACTTATTGAACCTGAGCCATCCAACCAGCTGTAACATCATTTGTAATTTATTGTTTCCAAACTCTAGGTGTTGTTGTTTAGTCGTTAAGTCGTGACCCCAGGGACCAGAGCACACCAGAGCACCCTCCTGTCTTCCACTGCCTCCTGGAGTTTGGTCAAATTCATGTTGGTTCGGTTACACTATCCAACCATCTTGTCCCCTGTTGTCCCCTTCTCCTCTTCCCTTCCCACTTTCCCAACATCAGGGTCTTTTCCACAGAATCTTCTCTTCTCATGAGATGGCTAAAGTATTGGAGCATCAGCTTCAGAATCTGTCCTTCCAGTGAGCACTCGGGGTTGATTTCCTTCAAAATGGATAGGTTTGTTCTCCTTGCAGTCCAGTGGACTCTCAAGAGTCTCCTCCAGCACCACAATTTAAAAGCATAAATTCTTCAGCCATCAGCCTCCTTTATGGTCCAGCTCTCATTTCCATACATCACTACTGGAAAAACCATAGCTTTGACTATGAAGAGCTTTGTCGGCAAGGTGATGTCTCTGCTTTTTAAGATGCTGTCTAGGTTGGTCATCGCTTCCCTCTCCAGAAGCAGGTGTCTTTTAATTTCATGGCTGCTGTCACCATCTGCAGTAATCATGGAGCACAAGAAAGTAAAATCTGTCACTGCCTCCATATCTTCCCCTTCTATTTGCCAGGAGGTGATGGGACCAGTGGCCATGATCTTAGTTTTTTTAATGTTGAGCTTCAGACCATTTTTTGCTCTCTCATGTTTCACCCTCATTAAGAGGTTCTTTAATTCTTCCTCACTTTCTGCCATCAGAGTAGTATCATCCGCATATTGGAGGTTGTTGATCTTTCTTCCGGCAGTCTTAATTCTGGCTCTAGCTCTTGCTTATTTTTTATGTTTTGTTCTTTATTAAGTAATTCCTTACATGTTAGTAATGCTCCTTTCTGATTCAGCACTTTCAAAGTAAATGCTTCTATAGGCGCTACTCATGTTGGGATTTTCTTATAGGTTTGTGCTTGAAATTTTTGCCACGCTAGGCATAGTGCCTTTCTCAAAATGTGTTCCATAAAATGTGATTGCTCCTTGTATTTCTCATACCACACATATGCATGCCAACCCATTCTTAGATCATATCTCTCCAATTTCAGTAATATTTGGTTTGCAAGAATTATCCATTCTTTTATCCACGTCATAGCACAAGCCTTATAGTATAATAGCCAGTTCAGTTTTCCTGAAACCCCCCCCCCTTTCTTTCAGGTCCTTTAATAACCTAGGTTTTATTCTTGGTTTCTTAGTCTTCCATACAAAATTCGCTGTCAGATGATCCAAGTCCTTGAAATATTTAAAATTTTAATAGTGGTGGCAGATTTTGAAAAGGAGATAGAAGTTTTGGTAATATCATTTTTATCGTTGAAGTTCTTCCCATTAGAGACAATTGCAACTTACTCGGATTTCTGTGATATTGAAAGGTTAGCCTTGGATTCATATTGAAACCATTACATCATTTTTGAGATTGTATCCCAGTACAGCTTTTCCCACTCTTTTGTTGACAATGAGGGCTACTCCATTTCTTCTAATCTACAGGATTCTTGCCCACAATAGTAGATATGATAATCGTCTGAATTGAATTCGCCCATACCTGTCCATTTTAGTTCACTGACACCCAGGATGTCAATGTTTATTCTTGCCATCTCCTGTTTGACCACAACCAGCTTACCAAGGTCCATAGATCTTACATTCCAGGTTCCTATGCAGTATTTTTCTTTGTAGCATCAGACTTTCCTTTCACTTCCAGGCGCATCCACAGCTGAGCATTCATTAGCTCTGGAGCTACTCGTACTTGTCCTCCACTCTTCCTCTGTAGCATGTTGGATGCCTTCTTACCTGAGGGGTTCATCTTCCAGCGTCATATGTTTTAGCCTTTTGTTTCTGTTCATAGAGTTTTCTTAGGAAAGATACTGGAGTGGCTTGCCAGTTCCTGCTCCAGGTGGGTCATGTTTAGACAGAACTCTCCACTATCACCTGTCTGTCTTATGTGTCCATGCACGGTATAGCCCATAGCTCCTCTGAATTACTCAAGCCGCTTTGTAACAACAAGGCAGCAATCCATGGAGGATAGTTAGTTTAAAGGAAATGTACATGACTACATAGGTATCAAGTACAGAAGGAGGCTAGGGCTGGTGTTTCTTTACATTCCAAGAATGCTCGCTGCCACATTTTCTGAGTAATTCTGGCTACTGTTCAAGTCATTTGTTTTTTGTGTTCTGGTTTGTCTGTGTCATGATTATTCAGCAGCTCTTTGTCTAGTTATTATACTGTAATGTCTTGTTCCATTTTGCAACTGATGAGCTGCCAGGCTTAGCTTATAACAAATACCATAAGGCACTTTTTTGATTGTTAAAGCTTAAGATGAACAAGTTGCTTCCCTGTAACTATGGTTGTTCAAATAGTCATCTGTGAACTCACACCAATGTGCAGTCCATCTCGGAACCTTCCAGAGCTGATCTAAGGCATTTTTGTGGGAGCTCCACCCTTTTCCTAAGGTGAGGTTGGCCCATTCCATCCTGTTCCTCTCATTTTCAGTCTGCTCTAAAGACAGTGACATCTAAGAGAGGAGGCAGGCGGGTTGTATGAGTTCACAGGTGACCACTCGAAGAACCACAGTTACAGGTAAACAAATTGCTCTTCTCTGTGGTTGTTCTGAACACACACCAATGAGTGAGTAGCAAGCTTATCTTAAGGAGGCGAGCAAATGTTATTGTAGACTGGATGACAACACCTCCCTGCTAAAAATGTGTATCTAGATGAGCCCTCACGTCCAGGCGGTAGTGTCTCACAAAGGCGGTGGGATGGCTGCATGTCACCATTCTGCATATATCCAGTAGGGGAACACTCCTAAGGAAGGCTGTTGAGGTGGCTGTGGCAGAACAGCCACCCAGTTTGATCTCCTGCTCTGTAGCAGGGCATCTTACACACAAGGCAACATTTCACAAACTTGATTACATTGCTTGTACTAGTAGTGTATGGTGGAAATTGTAGTCCACAACACCTGCAAAACACCAGGAAAATGTGGTAAGCTGACCTGAAGCCTTGGCATTTCCTTGAGATCTCTAGGAAGAGTACCCCTGAACACTTTGTTTAAGTGTTCCTGTGTCAGCTATGTGACAGTGATATCAGCACTTGGATACAACCAACACAGATACGCCAAAAACAATTGTTTGCAATATAACTATGGAAATGATGGAATGCATCATGATTTTTCTATCGGTGAAAAACTGTGAGGTGTATATGGTCCCATACTAGAACATCATCCCTAGTGTTCAAGTCAATTAAGACTTATGGTGAACCCTTTAAGGGCTTTCTAGTTACAGAGTACTCAGAAAGTAGGCCTGTCAAGGCCACCATGGTGTTATGAGAAACTAGTGGAAGAAACTAGTCATGAGAATGTAAGTCAAATGTAACATTTGTTGGAATGAGATCAAAGTATTTCATTAGGTAGAATCCCTATTACAGTGGGGTCTTGACTTGAGAACTTAATCCATATTGGAAGGCGGTTCTCAGGTCAAAAAGTTCTCAGGTCAAATCTGCATTTCCCATAGGAATGCATTGAAAACTATTTGATCCGTATCTGCTCTTTTCCGTCCATAGAAACTAATGGGAAGCTGCTATTCCACCTTCGACCACTAGAGGGGGATATTTTGTTTTTGTTTTACCTTAGGTCAAGAAAGGTTCAGGGAAGGCAGGGAAAATACAGTCCAGGCAGTACCAGGCAGTCTGAAGACTGTCTCCCAATCCACTCTCTAAACGCTGGGAGGAGTGAGGAAGCAGACAGGCACCCTTTTCACTGGCCAACAGTAAACTGAAAGTTCACATTTTGCACTTTCCCTGCCTCACACGTGGTTTTTTTCAGTTCTTAACTCAAATCTAAGTATGTAAGTCAAGTCAATATTTTCCTATGAGAGTGGTTCTTAAGTCAAAATGTTCTTAACTCAAGCTGTTCTTAAGTCAAGACCCCACTGTATCTAAATCTCCTTCTCCATATGCATTTTCGGCTCTCCAGATAGCTCTTCTTCAGTTTACCTATATCCATCCATGAGCTGCCAAATGAAAGCTCCTGTCTACATTAATCCGAATCCAACTCATAAATATTTGTCAAATGTATAATGAACAGAACCACAGACTGTGGTTGAAAGAAGCAGAACAGTAACCTAGTCTGATCTGCTCTGTAGCAGGGCATCTTATATGTAAAGCAGCCTTTTACAACTTGAAAACGTTGGTTGTACAGTACTAGTAGAGTATGATGGAAACTGTAGTCCACCATGCCCTCTTTAAACTCACTCTAGGTACAATACTGCTGCTTGACCAAGAAGTATTTTTTTTCTCCTGGGAGCAGGGTGGATTTGATTTAAATCACTATTCGATTTTTTTTAAATCATACTTTTTCATGATTTAAATAAAAATGAAGTTTCATTATGATTTAAATCAATTTGCTTTCTTTAAAAACTTATTTATTTTTATCCACCCTGATTGGAAGGCACAGTAGTGAATTGAACTCTCAGCCTCTGGCTCTGATACCTAACTCACTGAGCTACCAAGTTTCCATTACTAGAGATGTTGTGTTCTTCATGTAAACACAACAATTTTAGACAGCACTTCAGTAAACTGCTGTGAAATAAACATCAACTGAGTGAACATGTCAATGAACTAGGTCAGTGTCTGCCAAGTTTTTACTATGGGCACTCAAATTGTTAGTTTTGTCTGAGGGCTATGAATCAGTTTTATTGCTATTTACTGAAAAGCTTCCTCAAAAAGCTGCATGATGCATGCCATCTAACAACTGGCAGTGGAACCACAACACTCCCATCAGCCACTGCTAAACCACCAGTGATGATTGCTCCTCTAGCTTTAGTCATCAAGCCTTCCAAAATCTACACCCATAGCAGCAGATATGGGCCGGGAAAAGGTTTTTCTGAACATACCATAGTTTAACTACATATATTGCATTATAATCTGTAAGTTTCTCAAGAGTTGTCAAATCAAACACCAACATTTGTTTTAAAAAGCCTAAGCACTCCTTGTTTAACCTTTATTTTGAGTTCTGTTTTGTTCTGTATGGATCAGTACATTAAAAAAGGGTTAATAGTGGAGTGTGTGATATTTTTTTTAAAAAAAGTAACAGGCCTTTGATATGAGAGATCTTCTGTTTAAATACTACATGTGTTGCATATCATGCACATTAATAATTCATACAATAAAAGCATATAAGGACTTAATAAAAGCTAACCTACATTCCATACTTAATGCATTAACATATTAACTAAAAGATATTTATAAGATAGGTTCATGACCAATGATCAAAAACATACAGAAAATGCTTTACTATGAAAAATAACCTCAGACCAAGAATTTGTAATTCATGAAGGTAAAGGTTCAGACCAAGATATCTGAATGGTGGCTTCTGCTCCTACGAACCTCCCCAACGTCTTGAAATAATCTTTAGAAGCTCTCTGAGTTGTCTCACCACAGTGAAAGTAGACCAGAAGGCCGGAAACCAAAGATCCTGGTTATGAAAATCCTCTGAAAGGATGTGAGAGTTACTTTATTCCTGGGGGGAGGGGCACGTCCTCTTTTGGGAAAGATATTTCTCCCTTTAAAGATCTGCCAGAAGGAACTATCTCTGTTTGAAGGTGTTCTCCATTTAAGAGCTATCCACTCCAACTCTGATCTGAAGGTAAAGAATCATAAGGAAGGAGATGAGAGACCTTGAAGTTGTCCATAAACAACTGGACAGCAGTCTCACCAGGTGCACAAGTGATCCATTCCCAGCACTCCTTGTTTGAGTCGCATACATGTGGTTCTGCTTAAATTACCAAAAAACAGTTCTAATTTTGCATCGATAAGTAATGTTATGCAAATAACTGCCCTCCTTGATAATGTGTAAGTGATCACCTTACCTATATATAACTGTTCTGGTCTCCAGGGCTAAATTCAGTAGAGTTGCATTATAAAATCTAAAGACATTAAAGCATTTTTTAAAAAAGGAGTTTAAAAACTGATTTAAAAGCCACAACAACACAAATTTAACTGCTTACCAGAAGCTCACTAAGAAAGGTGTCAACTTCTTTTTGGAGGGATGTCCACAATCAAACGGCAGCTGCTGATGTGTGTACTCACCAGCCTAACATTTAAGGTTGATAGGATATGCAACAGGCTTCTGCTGAAGACTTGTAATTCCAAGCAGAGTCACAGAGAAGGAAGTGGTCTTTTAAATATCCTGGCCCAAAGCCATTTAGGACTTTAAAGATAAAAACCAGACCCTTGAATTTTGCTTGGGGAAAAAGAAGAAGCCCATACACTTTGTTCAGGCCCACTAATATATAGTCTTTAAAGAGCATGCCAGATACATCTGTTTGTTGCATTTTGCACTAGCTGTAGCTTCTGAGCCTTTTTTTAAAGGACAGCCCCACATAGAGTGCATTATAGTATAATAATTTAGAAGCAAGCTGATATAATTCAATGAGTTGGAGTGCCTGGTTGCAGGGCCAGGCGTCCTGTGCCTTCCAGAAAACAGACCAGCTGAGATCACTCAGAGCACAGGTGGCTAGCTGATGCAGGGACCTGCCCTGCCACCCATGTGGCCTTAGGCAAGTCCCAGAATGTCACCATAAGGAGAGTCTTAAACCACCTTTGGTTATTAGCAGTCCCTGGGAGGGATCCCATAAGTCAGAATTGACCTGACAGCATGTGATGGTTAATCAAGGCATGACTCACTGTAGCCACATCTCTTTTTATCTAGACAGGGATACAACTGCCACACAGTTTCTAATACGTAACTACTAGTTTTAACTTTGCTCCTCTTTATTTTTAAGCTTTTGTTTCATTTTGTGCTACTTCGTGGCATTTTGAATTGTTCTGGCTTTTTTATGTTAGTCACTTTAGGGTCTTTATTAGGGTAGAAAAGTGGTATAAAATCCTTTTATATACTAAATAAATCACTAAATATTGCAATGGCACATTCTTTTGTTCTGTGTATTGGTGAAGTGTTTCTTTTCCATTGAAACCTGATGGAGTATATTGAGACCACCCACAGACAAAAGAAAGCTAGCTATACTAGGCCTGTACAATATCTTAAGGACTGTAGGAACAATGGGAAAACAATTCATTTGTATTTAGACTGAAACTCTTTTTGATTGTGTGTGGATGGCTCTCCTTTGCCTGAGAAGGACCAATCAATTTTCTTTGGCATCAAAAGAAAAAATGAACAACTAAATAAAGGCAGTCATCAAACAAGGAAAATACAAGGGATAGTGCTTATTGTATTTTAAAAATTTAGACAAACATTCACTTGTTAAATAACTACAGAACATCTAATTAAACACACACAAAAGGTTGAAATGTAAGCTCCTAACTGTCTAATTATTTTTTTTAAAAAATTACATGTTCAAAAATAGAAGAGATCATGAAAGTTGCACTCTTCCAATGGGAACTTTAATCTAAGCCCATTGTGCCATTTGTTTTTGATTGCCCTTGCTTTTGCAACGAAAGATTATTTATTCCTCATGGGGTCCTCTAGGGTTCTTTTTTAATTAGCGAAGGGAGAGGTAAATAATTAAAGTCAAAGAGATGAATGTAACCAGAACGAGATGCTGGCATCTCACTGCTAAATTCCAGGCAACAGCAAAAACGTTGCATAGAAATGAATGGGGACATGCAGTGAGGAGTTATCTCATTAGTTCTCTTAAACTTTATTCATTTCATGTATTTTATTATTCAGATCACAGCAGTTGCTACTTATGGTATTCAATAATTCTCTGTTAAGCAGGCCATTGCTTTTTGGGTTGCATGTTGCAATTGACAGCATTCATGTATGGAAAGTGTAGTGATTCCAAGATTCTTTCCTACCTGAAGTGAAGGACAAGATATCCTGCCCTTAAATTCCATTTACAGAAGCCAACTGAATTGGCAGCTGAATTCTATACATGCAAGTAGAGAGCACCTTACACAACACATGACAACAGCACATAAGCTGTTGTCAGAAGGTAAAGCCATCTGGTGCCTGGAAATCTTTCTTCTAATACGTCACTGCCACTACCAGCTTCTTCTGCCTGATGCTGAATGTTAAGACCAGACTTGAGCGAAGAATGCTCCTACATAACATATTGTCAAGAGAACTGTAAGGGGAAAACATTCAGCAATAGATTTGTTGAGAGTTCTGGTATCAAAGGAGGAAATTCATCACAGGGGTTTCCTGATGTGTAGACATTGCCTAATCACCTTCTTTAATGTTGGGAATGACCCTATTGGCCAGTAACCCTGAGGATGGCTTCCCCCATTGTGGATTGATTAGTTTGGTTCTCTTCTCTGAGCACTGCACACCAATAGCCCAGATCCAGTTTTGGAATACACACAGCAGCACCCTAAAGACTAATATGTGTATGGTGGGGAGGCCACTTTGTCAGACGCATCTAAAGAAGTACACTGTGTTTCAGGATTGCTTATGTCACAATGTGAATAACGTGTTTCTGTTTTTCTATTAGGTACATTTACATTTCACCTTTCTTTCAATTAGCAGTACATGTGGCTTTTCTCCCGCCCATTTTATCCTTCCAACAAGGAGCCTCATGGCACAGTGGTTAAACTGTTGTGCTGCAGCCAAAACTCTGGTTCACTCCCGGGTTGTTGGCTAAAGGTTCATTCAGCCTGCCATCTTTCTGAGGTTGGTAAATCGAGTGTCCAACTTGCAGAAGTGGGGGCAATGTGTAGCCTACATAATTAAATAGTAAACTGCCCAGAGAGTGCTGGTGTATAAGCAGCACACTTTGCTTTGCTTTTGTAAGGTGGACTGCTAGCTGGCCCAAGGTGAGCAGTGAGCATTATGGTCAGAGTGCACCGGAACCTGGCTCTCTCAATTTACAATCCAGTACTTTAACTACTGCACCTTGCTTTGTTGTTCTTATGGCAACAGACTAACAAAATTATTGCTATGGGTTTTTTTATAGCATACGATGCAGTGCACACATCTTCCGTTACCCATTGGATGCATCAATGAGTACAAGCCAAAATACAACAAAAAAAAACCCCAATATCTCCATGGGTCTACTTCTTTGAAAATATCTGTTTTAAAACTGAATGTGCTAGTAGAAAGTAGATATGAAGGTCACAAACATGTGCGCTCTTCCCCCCCCCCGTTGAGTACTATTATGAGTGGATCAAAGGTTGTTATACGGCCCTTCCTTTACTTTCTGCCAAACAGGATCTTGCACTGTTCATCAAACTCTGCATTTGGATAAATACTGCCTCCTCACCCCACTGGCAGCTTGTTCTAGGGATCTCTTTTATCTGACTGACAGCTGAAAGACATTAAGTTGTACAGTAAATCATTTAACTAGAGCTTAGAAAGTGTGATGGCTAAACCACAAACAAAGAGTACTGCAATATATTCAACTAGGCTGAACAATTTTAACGTTAATGGACCAATGTAACCACATGTAATAAGTACAATCTATTCCATTTTCCAAAAGATCTTAAACTGGATCTTTAGTAATGCTGGTGATTCGGAGAAGTTTGTCTGAGATTTGTCATTCTGGTTTCCCCCTGCCCCTCCTTCTTACTCTTTTTGTAAGTGCTACTTACATAAAATATGCCAGAACACTTATAATCAGCTGGAAACTAGCAGTTTCTCTTTATCCAACAAGAGTAGCAGCAAGCAGAATTACTTACTTCTCACCTTTGTTTGAGAAAACAAAGAGAATAGCCACCCCACCCCAACCTGTGGTCAATACATGAGCTTGGACAGGCTAGTATACAGCATAGCACTGTGGATGACTGTGTAACAATGAGATGGGTAGTCCTTCGTTAGAAGTTCACCTCAGCCATGAATCCACCAAGTAGACTCCGGCAAAAGAGAGACATAGGAAGCTGCCCACTATTGAGTCAGATAATGGGTTCATCTCGTTCAGTACCATCTCATTTAAACTGATTGGCAGTTTAAGCTCTCCTGGCTTTCCAGTTTCTACCTGAAAACACTGAAGACTGAATCTGGGACCTTTACAGCCTCAACTCCAGACCTGTAAAATGAAGAAAATAGCTCTGATAATGTAACAGGTAGCTGATGTGCTGACTAATATAATGGCCGAAATCCAGCAGTAAGTTGCAACTGCAATAGGCCCATCACTGCAGTGGGGATTTGGGGATCAACATCTCTGTACAATCCACTAATTCAGTGAGCCTACTCTATAGTTGAACTTACAACTGGTTTTCAACCCTTGCAAAACACTAAAAACACTGTATGTGCATGTTGCTCTTGTTTTTATATCTGTTTGTTTGCTTCTACAGCAGAGATAATGATGCCTGAAGTTAGACAGCTCCTAGTTTTCCCAGTCAGAAAATTTTGGGTCAGAAGACCTTTTCTCTTTAATGGATTTTCTGCACAAGAAAAGAAGTAGACACGGTAGTGGGCAGAGTAAGACCGTAATGGAATATGACAGAACTTGGAGATCTACTTCAAAAAAAATGCAGGCAATTGCACAATAAACACCTGAATTCTGATTACTGTAAGAAAATATAGTGCGACTTCAGTGATCTTTGCACTGTGCTTCCTTGCTTGGGAGGGGAGAATAGGCAATGCAAAGAATACAGCTCCTTTTCATTGTTTCACTTCCAAGACTTTTTGGTTTCAGATCTATGGCATCTAATCCTGCAATAGTAACAAAAAAGCCTTGCCGTACCAGACAAGAGTCGATCAAGTCTGCTCCCACAGTGGCCTACCAAATGGCTATATGGGAAGATGACAAGCAGGACATGAGTGAACCAGCACATTCCTGCTCAAGTTCCCTTAGCAATTGGTATTTAGAGGCATACTGTACTACCTCTGATTACTGGAGGTAATAAATGGCTGTCATCATGGCTAGTGGCCATTGATAGCCTTTTAATGTTTACATTCTCTGTTCATGGCTCATGTTTTGCAGTACTGCATATTTCCAATTAGATAACATTAAATAATGTTATGTTACTGCTTTCTCAGCATTGGACATACTACTGCCTTGTGTTGTGCCTATTTAATAGTGCAAGCTCTTTGCCTCTGCATTGTTAGGCTGGACACTCTACATTACCAACATAGTATAACCATCTCTGTTTTTTAAAATAAATGGGTTCTATATATTGCTAAAGGGACATGGTGGCATTGCGGGTTAAACTGCAGAAGACTCTGTGCTGCAAAGTCAGAAGACCAGCAGTCGTAAGATCGAATCCACATGACGGAGTGAGCTCCCGTCGCTTGTCCCAGCTCCTGCCAACCTAGCAGTTTGAAAGCATGTAAAATGCAAGTAGATAAATAGGGACCACTTCAGTGGGAACGTAATGGCGTTCCGTGTCTAGTCACGCTGGCCACGTGACCATAGAAACTGTCTTTGGACAAACACTGGCTCTATGGCTTGGAAATGGGGATGAGCACCGCCCCCTAGAGTTGGACACCACTGGACTAAATGTCAAGGGGAACCTTTACCTTTTTATATATTG